GAATTCTGTCTATGCACGCAAATCTCTAGCCCAGGTTCAAATCATACTTTTCATGGGTGATTTAGGGAGAGAGGGGCTCATGCTTGAGTGCTGCTGATACAGATTTAGCAGTATCAGTGGCAGACTTAGAGGCATTCCCAGCAATGGGAATGCAGCTGTTTGAGTTACAGTAATCCTATCTCTGCTAATCCAGTCCTCCTATGTTATTGTTTTGAAGTAACTCTAATTTCTGGACTATTTGTAGCACAGACACTTGCATGAGTTTGGCTAATTCAAGTCCTCTAGTTCCAATTTATGCTTAGTTTGAAAACAAGCTTTGGTCTAACAAAGAAGACAACACTTTATAGCTTTGAATGCCCTTTCATCTGCGTAGTGTATAAATGAAACCCTTTTAATGCATTTTTGATGGAGAAGAAAAACATTAACAGAGCATGTACCACATTAGCAGAGATTTTTAATCATTTTCACATGGAAAATCTAGATTTGTAAACAGCATTTCAGATACTCCTAATGCTTTCAGGGAACCCATCCGTTTCTGGGAAATTAGCTAATTATCCTTTCCCTCTTTTTAAAATGCAGTTGTGCAAATATTAAATATGATAATACTTTTTAACCAGGATAGGTAATAAGTAATCTCAAATTCCTCAGTGACCGTGAATGGTAGTACCTGGAGATAGCCAGAGTCCATGGGTGCGAAGTAAGACAATACAGTGTGAGAACACTTCCAGTACCATTTCCAGATATGCAGAGATACTTGGACCTGTGAGGTGTAATGTAAGTTTACAAGAATCTAAGTACCTAGTTGTAGACTTGTATGCTCAGACTACTGCATCAGTCCTTTCCCACAGTTCTAGATCTAGCTGTTTATACTTCTCGGTGCTCTGGAACTCTTCTGACTTTTAATATTGCCATTATTTTTTGAAATTCAGAGTTCTAATTCATGTCTATTTTTGTTTTAATATTCCAGTCAGAGCAGCAAAAGAAGCAGCAGGAAGCAGAGAAACAGCATCGTCAAGAGAGAAAAACGCTCAGGCGTTCTGCTGGCCACCTCAAGAGCAAACGTGGAAGAGGGCAACGTTTTCATTGATGTATTTTGTTCCTTTTTTAAAGAAACTGCTTTTCTTGTATTTTTCATTTGAAAATGAGACTTTACAGTACAAATATATTTGTATTCTGTTAAAGCGATGGACACAGAATTCAGAACTTGTTAAGCCCTGTGCTAGCTTTTGAAAAGCATATGAAAATGTAAGTATTGGCAAAAGGACATCAGGAGTATAATGTATTGTAAGCTTCAATTCAGTTGTATCTGTGCAGAAGGCATCGGCAGCTGGTTATTGTGTAACCCTGGATGTAGTCTATATAAGAATTTATCTATACAACAAGGCTGCTTGTCCTTTTTTATCTTAAGCAGTGAGTTTTTGCTTTCTGAAGTGTTCTTCATTTATGACAGACGCAACATTTCCTAGTTGGGTGTTGTACAACTGTTTTTTAAAAGCTGACTTGAGCTCAACATTCTTAGGCTGCCTCTGCAGCCAAGAGGAGGTTAAAAAAAATAAAAATAAAGGTCATCTTGAGAGCATTGGAGAATGGCAAACTTACATGGTTGTGAGTCACCCTATAAGGAAATCTCTCTGGCGACACTGGTGTAACAACAGGGAATCCAGGAAGGATAATCTCGTTAAGCTTAAGGTTGGTGAACTTTGCCTTTCTCAGAATCCTTGGATCCTGGTTTATCCAGGTAAGAAAGCTGTGATTCAGCAGGCATCATGTAGTATACCTACAGACCCAACAAATTGAAGCCGTAAAAGTAGTCTCCATTCCTTCAAAGTTAGTTTAGTCAAATAACTTGAGAAACTTAAACCTATGTTAAGGAAATTATAGATTATTTTGTATGTCATCTTTTTGATTACCAACAGAATGTTTGCTGCTAAGCAAGATACAGCATATCTTGTTGGTTTTTATTTTGCAAAACCTTTATTTACATAGATAGTCCACTACATTGACAAAGAATTAATTTTACCTTTGATCCTAAAGGAACTTTGTTACTGCTTTTTAAAGAGCTTTATAAGTTCCCTTTTTGCTAAATCCGAAAAACTCTGAACTTTGGACCCAGCAAGAGTCAGTGAACCTCCTGCTGCCTGTAAGTCACTTTGAGACTTGAAAATTAAGTGTTTTGCTTTATAAACTAGGGAGACTATTAATATGGTCAGGTCTCCTATACAATACTTAACTTTTTTTTCCTTATTTAAAAAAAACCCTAACCATTATTATTTGATTACTACTGAATCAAACTGCTAAGGAAAACCTTATTTTCTTAACTTAGTCTGATGTTTTATGATTAAGGTTTATTTTTTAATCAATATCTATTTGGGCATATCTATCTATTTTGTGTGGGTTTTTTTTGTTTTGTTTTGGTTTTTCTTCTGATTTAATTTTCTCTTGATTCCTTGCATCTGGTTGTAATTATGTTGTTTCTCTAAATTTAAAAATTCCTTTTGCACATCATGTTTGCTTCTTTGAAGTATACATTGTGATCAAGTCCCCTCTAAGCCTTTGCATTCAGCTAAAAGACAAGAATTATCTGTCATAGGTTTTTTTTTTTCCTTCAGCTTTCAAATCTCTAAATTGTGTGTGAATTTGATGCACTTTCTGTGTAACACAGAGCTACCAGTATTTCAGTCTTACCTGTGCCTTATGCCAGAAATGTCATTATTACTTCCCTTTAATCACTGAGAAACTTTTAATGCAATGTGGTTGCTCCAGGGTGTCTCCCTCTTTGGAATCTTGTCTTTTGGTGACTTTAAACTTCTGAAATTCAACTGAAATGACAAGTTGAAGTATGTGCTGGTGCGATGATGCCATCTTTCCCATGGAGCATTTTGCTCTCCTTTGGAAATTATCTGCATACAGTTCAGCTGCGTTCATACATATGGCTGTACTGAACTCGTAGAAATTGGTTGTGGAAACTTGCCACAGCTCTAATTGCTACAGGAAGAGTTAGGGATTAGCTGTACAGAACTTGGAGATGCTTTCCTGTAAATATGTCACATTTTTATATGCAATGTGTATAAAGTGTGCATATATATATATGTTGGGTGTGTGTATATACATATATATTTTATACTGCTATAGTGAGGCTAATTAGGCCTCACTAAAAGGCCTCTTTTATCTCTAATTGATAAGGAATAGTAATCATTCTGCAAATCATTCTAGAAAATGGGAGGTCGCAGATAGTATTTGTGAATGAGAGCATGAGAGCTGGCTTGAGCTTCTGAGTATCCTCGAGCTTCATGCTGATCTTCACCATTTGTGATGTCCCCCTTGAAGAAGAGAGACTGTACCTCATCTGTGAATTCCTCACCGTGCTTCTCTACTCAGGAGCACCTGCTTTGTGATGGTTCTTCATTCAGCAGCTTCTTCATTTGTGCACGTAATTGCTTGAGGCTTACAAGAGGTCAATGTAATCTCCATTTTAGCCACAGCTGAATTCATGCTCTCCTGGTTAACCAGTGGACCAATGTGGGTTTTGAAAAACAGATTTAACCAGTTACAGATCTCTGCCAAAGGTGGTTCTGGGCTGCTGATATATTTCTGAAGGAAGTACATATCATTTTAATGCATGCAAGTGAACATGTCTCTCAAATAGAAAGTGTATAATACAAAAAATAGTAAGCTAATTGAGCTAATACTTAACCTAAGGCTACTTTTTCCCATGACCTGGTTTAGGAATTTAGAGGTTTTGATGCCAAATATGGGTTAGAATCAGCGATACCCAGAAAAGTGAATTTCCTGGCCCTGGTCTGACTACAAAGTGTTTAGAAGAGGGCAGTGTTCTGTATATTTTGCTCACTTCAGTGAGGAGAAGTGCTAGATGTTTGTGTTTTGGTAACCCAGTTAGGCATGGCTCAGAGTGTCCAGCACTTGCGCTCTGGAATACAGATAAGCTGTTGTCGGTGGGCAGCGCCAAGCTGCCTGCCCTGCACCCGAGCCCAAGGCCAATGTGCTAACAGGCCCTTGGCAGCCTCCTCCAAGTGAGGGAGCGCAGGAGCGGGCTGGGCAGCTGGCAGCAACAGGGCAGGCCGGGACAGTGACCTCTCCAACAAGCTCCAACCAGGCAAGGAGAGCAGGGCAGATCTGGCAACAGGAACAAGGTTCAGCCAGCAGACTCGTGACGTGCCTTTGTGCATGGACACTGAAGTAAGTATGAACTGGAATTGCCAATTTCAGGAAGAGTTATATGAGAAGAGGCAACATTTTTTTTGAATATTCCACCCCTGTTTTTTTCATTACATTCATTCAGCTTAGGTGGGGAAAGGATTAGTAGACCTGAATTCCAGAAGGAAGGATGAGGCTTTCAAATATGGAAGAATGATGAAACAGTGGTGAAGATGACTGAGGGAAGTCTTTAAATATGCTGTGCCATGTCAGATTAAACATCTGCAGGAATTGCACAGCTGTAGTGAAGGCTGGCTTCAGGAAGAGGAGTGGATTATGCAACTTGAGAGGACCTCTCAAGCCCAGTGATTCTCAGATAGGTTATAGGGCATAAGGAATAAACATGCAGCATTAACTGACTGGAGGAACTTTCCCCTTTTGTCCCATCCCTGTGCTGA